AAAAAAGCCAGGGAAAATAAAATAAAAGTGTATTTGAACTAGGGATTTGATTAAATCAGAAATCTTAGGAAAAATATCTGAAAGTGCTATACTTCTAGGCAAAAATTAGATATCAGCTGTTTAATGTGGTTCAGTCTAATGTACTTGCTTTCAGTTCCTGGGCCTGCAATAGGAATGAATGCTATCTTTGTCCACAAATTCAGCAGCCTTGCATCCTGAAGGTCAGTGGCTTAGGATCTGCATGTGGTGGATCACATAGTGGGCGAACACTACACCCCAGTTATTCTGGGTCACACAGGCTGCCTGCTCTTCAGAGGCAGGGACATATGGGAAGTCCCATTCAGAGAAGACAGAAACCCTGGGTATGCTCAGCATAAAAACTGCAGGGGGCTAGGAGTAGGAAACCTTTAGGTGCAGCCACAGTATTCATCTCACTGTTGATTTATATATTCCTGCCTGATTGGAATCTTTTGTAATAAATTGTGATCCTTTGTAACTGATTAGATTTTCCCATTCTCTCCAAGAGCAAATTCCCGTAGTCTGCTGCTGGGAGTGTCGCAGATTCTTTCCTTCTAGAATCCAGTATTGACAGAAGTCCTGAGACCCCCAGGAATGCATGGATAAGGGGCCCAGAGGTGTACTTGGCCTAGTGCTTCAGTAAGGCCTCGGGAGCTTTGCAAAAATTCAAACTTCAGTCAGTTAACACAAGTATATGATTTTGATAACAATTCCAACTCATTTTAAGAGACTATACTTTATAAAATGTGTCTATCATTAAGCATGTGTTTATTCTTACGGGATCTCTGTAACCCCCAAATCTGAGAAGTTCCACAGATACCAAAATGAGCCCTAGGGAAAGTTAAGCATATTTGGAATTGTGGTTATTCACAGAGCATGGTTTGTGGTTTTGCAATGACATCCCAGATAGTAGTTGCTGTGCTCTCGAATATATAAAATATTGAAAGATGATTCCCTGCAAGGAAAACTTTTCAACGACAAGGATATAGATATTGCACTTTTCATTAAATCCATTCTTATACTCCCGGTCCCTTAGGAACAAAAGCACTCGGTCGTTTCTTTTTTTAATAAAATGTCTCACACTATATTAACTTCATGGCTGATTTTGTACATTTTCTATCTTTTCCATTGCCCCTCTAACTGGTCAGACAAGCATGGAAGAGAGCGCTTCTTGTACCAAGGGGAGTGTCGGGAGAACTGCCCGGCAGGCCACACCCCTGCGGAAGGGCATGCCTGCCTGCCCTGCCCAGATAACTGTGAGCTCTGCCACAACCCCCACATCTGCACCAGATGCATGAGCGGCTTTATCCTCGGACCCACCAACCACACCTGCCAGAAGCTGGAGTGTGGGCGAGGTGAGGCTGCTCTGGGTTCGCCCAGGACCTGCGGTTGGGATGAAGGGCTGTCCTTACTTCTGGACATCCTGGAGCCTTCAGGTCCAGGTTTAATGGCAAGCCTTCTAGTGACTGGATGATTCCTTTTGTCAAGTGGGTAGTTGCCCCTCTCTCTTCCCCCACACCTCCTCGCCGGCTGCCGCAGACACAGTCTGGGATTGCAGGAACACAACTGATCATATAGAAAGCGATCTTCACTTGGAGGTGTGTGGACGGAATATAGTGGGAAGAAAATTAGGTCTGAATCTGAAAGTCATGTCCAACGGTTTTCTCCTTCCCAATTACTACATACGAGACCCAGGGCAAAACTAATCTCATTTCTACATGCCTTGGTTTCTTCTGTCAACGGGACAGCATAGCACCAAGACAGACTCACTGTGAGCAGCTAGTGATAATAAGCTTACTGAAAAATATTAAAGGAGTCTGAATTGCATGTGTTATTGGTTTTGCCCAATTTTTATCTAATATGAAAGAGGGAAATTTTAAAAACACTTAGGATTCTAGGTCTTTTCCATACCAGAATATTACAGACTATTCCTCTGCTCTGTATAATAATTATGTCTGGTTTGGAGCTCAAGAAAGCTCCACGATGTTTTTAGAATAAAAATGTTCTATTTCTCTTTAATGTTAACAAATGTAGTAAAAGACTTTAAACTATTTTTTAAAAGTGTTCAGTAGGACAGATGATAAGAGAGATGGAGCCTGTTCGTTTATATACACAACTGTATTTTCTCAGAAGCAGAATTGATTTCTTTAACAAATAAAATCTACCAGCATGGCTTCTAAACTAGTTACATGGCATATGGTCCAACTTATTCTATTTGTACCCAACCAAGCTAATCCAATTTATTAAATTGATAGAAAGTGATAAAGAGGTACATGACATGTATATCCTCAAGGATATACGTGATTTTTTGTCACACATTGCTCTGTGATTTAAAAACAAGCTCCATACCAACATATCCTAGCAGTTGATGTGTCTCCACTTAGCGGAAATGAGTTGCTTTTCATTCCTCTCCCCATTCAGGTGAAGTCCAAGATTCAGACTATGAGGAGTGCTTGCCTTGTGAGGAAGGATGTCTGGGGTGCACCTCAGGTATGTCACCTTCCTTTGTTGCTTAAAGACCTGAAATAGCCACATCTTCTTTTACACATCTTCATTCTGCCATTGCTTCAGTAGGGTCTCTTGTTATTGTTCTTGTTGGTGTGAGTGTTACCGTTAATGTCTATTATCTAGGCTCACTCAGAGTCACTGTGAGGAATGCTTGCTTCTGAAGCAGTAGAGAGGCTTCCAGTCTTTCTGCAAGTCAAGTGTAAGACAGAATGGTGGGCCTTTCTCTCTGGCTGTTAGCTCATTGGCAGAGATACCTCTCAGCAACCATGTCTCAAGGGGCCTGAGACTCAGCCACTTCTTAGCTTTTCAAAATGACAGTTTTGAGGATGAACAATGAATAAAACTCAAAGAAATATCTTTTTACTCTAACTCATTTGTGTAAAAGATAAATCTTGTGACTAGAGAGATGGGGAAGTTTTTCTCTATTGCTTGGACCCTACAATAATCCTTAGACGGTTCCTGGTACTGGAGAAAAACCCCCCCCAAAAAAAATAATAATAATCCTTAGAGAAGATTGCATCATGGTGACCACGGAGTTGAGATCTTCATGCAATGAAAAGCACATATGATTGTCTCATTCATCTTCTGCTCCTCCTTTCTCTCCCTCTCACAGGCCTGTTTTTGTGGTAGAAGAAGTGATAGGAGCTGTGTGTGGCACATAGCATCACTGGATAGGAAGTAAAATAGGAAGACCCTCAAATTCCAAGATCACATTTTAATGTAAGTTTAGGCAAGGTACAGAAAGTAATATATAGAAGGGGCTGGAGCAAAGCTCAGTGGTAGACAAGTTGCCTAGCATGTGTGAGGCTCTGGGTTTAACCCCAAGAAAGAAAGAAAGGAAGGAAGGAAAAAAGAAAGGAAGGAAGGAAAGGAGGAAAGGAGGGAGGGAGGCAAGGAGGGAAGCAGAGAGAAAGGGAGAGAAGAGGGAGCAAATGGCTTACAGGATCTTTGGAAGGAGCCCCTCTGGGAAGATTCATGGAATAATTCAATTTCTCTTCATGGAATCTCTGTAAAGGCCTGGAATGCTTCTAAAACTTTCATGTACACACAAATCATGCACTTTGACAAGTTATAATACAGATTCTGATTCATCAGTTTAAGGTGAGTTTGAGAATTTGTGTTTTAAAAAGCTGACCAGTGAAGTCAAGACCACTTTTAGAACAGCAAGAGGTTAAGCTATGCCAGAATGAAGTAGTCTTTTTACTGTGTATGGGGTTGGGGTGTGATCTTTTTAAGAATTAAGAAAATCCATTTTAGGCAAGTCCTAAATCTATGAACTTATCAAATGAATGTTACAATTTTTCCTTCCCTTAAATGAAAAAGATATATTTTCTATAATATCTGTGACTACAAAATAGTTTCTAGAAACTTGAATGCTATTTCCTCATTATTTTCTACTATGAGATGCAGCTTATACTATAGAAAGTAAAATACAATAATAAAATGACACTTAGAGATTTAAGGGTAAAAGGCTAATCATCTAGGAATCAAAAAATAAATGTAAACTTAATAAAAGTACTAAAATTGTGGGCCCACAGTATAGCTCAGTGGCACAGCGCCTGCCTGGCAAGCTGGAGGTACTGAGTTCAATTCCTGGTACCAAAAAAAGTACTAAAATAAAAATATGAACAATATACATTTTTGTTATAAGCACTGTTATTATATAGTATATGCTATTAGATGTATCTAATTTTTGCTTATATATACACATACAAGCAGATCCCAGTATCTCCTGTAAGGTGTCTGGTGATTTTTCTTGTAAAGCGAGTAGTGATAGCTGTTTTGACTATTGCAAACTCACTTTTTGTTCATTTCAGGCCGTTTTTCCCTTAGGTTTTATACGTTAGCCAATTTGCTTGGCTTGCTTTGCAGCTTTTCTACTGCATGTTGGGTGTCCATGCTAGCATCTTTGTGCATCATGGAGAGGTGTCTGCATAGCACATGTGTGTGTGTGTGTGTGTGTGTGTGTGTGTGTGTGTGTGTGACCTTAACTTTGAGATTTTGGCTCTTTTGGCTCTGTTCAGTGAAAAGCCAGTGGCACAAGTCCATCACTCAATAAGTTAAACACAGACAAAAGAAGATACTCCCTTCGTCTTTTTAAAACTCCTTGGAAGGAACGTGTGAATGTGGGGGAACTCGTTCAAGGCCAGAGCAGAGTGGAGGTGGGAAAGGTGACAAGAGGACCATGCCCTGCAGGGATCTGCTTTGTGCCCACCTCCCCTAAGCTGGCCAAGCTAAAAGGAAAAGCCACTGGAAAAAGATTTTGTCCCAGACACTGTCCCTCTGGGGACTCAAAACTCAAAAGAATCAACTTGCAAAAAAGAGATAAACTAGAATTTGATTCACTTTACAAAGTGCTACTGAAAGGTCAGACTGTTCACACATTTAAGAAACTGTAGCTGTCTGCTGAGGGTTCACCTTAGTGCTAAGAACTCAAAGGGGACACCACTGGGTCCTGTCCATCACAAGCGCCCTCCCTGGAATGCAGTCTCTCTGGAGGCCAGAGTAGAGACCTATAGCAGGGATCACTGGACAGGGTGGCGAGAGCTAAGTGATGCCAATTTTCACATCCAAAATTTGAAAATTTCTCTTACTTTATGAAGGCTCTGTATACAGGACCTTGTGTGTTCATGCATTGACTTTGTTGAACTCATTTATTACTTTATTTCTGAACCCTCCAATAGAATACATTCTCCTATCTCCCTTTATTTGTAGGCTCACAGTAACACTTTTTATTGCTGACTGGTATGATATTTGGTGCATACACATCTTTCACCTAGACACTAAATGACTTGGGAATAAGCTCTGGGACTTACTGTGTTCCCACAAGAACTAGCAGTGCACCCGGGACATAATAATTGCACAATTAATGTACAATGTCCCTGACTTATGATGGCTTGACTTACCATGTTTTGATTGTTACCATGGTGTGAAAACAATACACGTTCAGTAGAAACTAAACTCACACATTTGAATTTTGAACTTTTCCTGGGCTAGCAATATGTAGAACATGATTCTCTCATGATGCTGGGCAGCAGCAGCAAACCACAGCTCCCAGTCAGGCACATGATCATCAGGGTAATCAACCAGTCCTATACAATGTTCTATGTTACCAACATTTTTGGATGCAAGTATTCAATAAATTACATGAAATATTCAACACTTTCATATAAAATAGTGCTTGTGTTAGACGGTTTTTCCCAACTGTAAGCACATGTAAATATTCTGAGCATGTTTAAAATGGGCTAAGCTATGATGTTTATAGGTTAGGAATATTAAATGCATTTTCAACTTTACAGTATTTTCAACTTAATAGTATTTAGGATAGGGTTACCACGGCATTACCCCGTTTTAAGTAAAGGAGTACATGTAAGGTATAAGTGTCAATAAAACTGGATTTGAGAGTTGCCCAAATTCAAAACAGAGACAGAGATTTAGATGTGATATTTTCTCTAATCAAATTTTTATACAGTCCAGGAAGAAAATACAAACACAAGTAATTTTTTTTCATGGAATATTAGAAATATAAGAAAGATTTGAAGAAGATGTGGCTTACTAAATTCTATAATTGTAATAGCAATATGAACTTTAAAAGCTATGAATACTTTACTGTAGATTTTCCTGAGGTTCTTCTTTTGAAACAAAAACATCATCCTTTGAAGACAACTTAGGCCTATTCTGTTTTAATAATACAATTTTTTCTTTGGACCACAGCTAAATGATCTCTAGAGAATTAGAGAAAAATAGAATCAGTCACTTTGAGACATTTTACTTATATTATAAAGTTATGGGGAACACAGGATATACTTTCAGAGTTTCATATTCTTTACCATATATTTAATGGACTATAGATTAATATCTAGCTTGTATAACTAAAAAAGAAAAACTCAAATTCCAAAATGATGGACATCTCATTAACTCCTGGGCTGAAAAAGGTATTTGTCAATCCAAGAAAAGATTTCCAGAAAGAGACAGAAAAGCAAACTCATAACAAGGAAAAGTGATTGTTTTGTCTGGAAGAAAATATTGAATTTGATAGTTCAGGATGGAAAAAGGGTATTTTTGTTATTATGGAGTTAGGTTTCTTTTCTTTATCAGGATGTAAACAAACAGCATTTTATATAACATCATTCTGTTCCAAGAGTACCCAGTGTCAAGTTCTTTGTCTTTCTATTCAGGGCCTTGAATGGAAATCTTAAGAAAGATCTAAATGTTCTGGGTTCTATTTCTTCAATAATTGAGAGGCGAAATAAATGGAGTAATTTTATCTGTTCTTTTTCAGTACTGGAGATTGAACTTAGGGCCCTCACACTGGGCTATGTCCCCAACCCCTTTTTAATTTTTTTAAATTTTGAGACAGGGTCTAACTAAGTTGCTAAATTGCCCAGGCTGGGTTCCAACTTGTGATCCTCTTGCTTCCATCTCCCAGAGTGCTGGAATTACAGGCATATACCCTCCTGGCTGAGGGAGCGACAGACTGACAGACAGACAGACAGACAGACAGACACAGAGACAGGGACAGAGATAGAAAAAGAAACTCAGAGAGAGACAGAGATGAGAGAGGTTGGGGATGCGGCCCAGTGGTAGAGTTCCATGCAAAAGCTTGGGTTCGGGGCTGGGGGTTTAGCTCAGCGGCAAAAGAGCCTGCCTGGCAAGTGCAAGGTCGTGAGTTCGGTTCCCAATACCGGAGAAAAACAAAAACAAACAAACAAAAAAAGCTTGGGTTCAACCCCCAGGACCGTGAAAAGAATAGAATAGAATAGAATAGAATAGAAAAAAAGAAAAGAAAAGAAAAAGAAAAAAAGAAAAAAGCGAGAAATTTTCAGGAGGTGCGTGCGCCTGTGATCCTGTTCCTCCAGAGAACCCTAACGCGGCTGCTGTGTTGGGTGCTTGCAGTGACTGGAGGGTGGAGGGGCTTGGGTAGGGCGAGACATGAGCCAGGGGTTCTTTCAGAGAGCCGGATGAGAAGTGCAGCAGCTTCA